TATTATAATATACAAATATATCTTCATTAAATGTTCTCTAAGTATCAAATGATGCTGTGGAGTTTGAATTAATAAATAAAGGATACATGATATATGTATTATTCTTATTCAAAAGGCTATCGTTAGTTGTTATATGGAACTCATAAGGCCTGTGCGTAAGAAAGAGTTTTAATTAGAAATATAAATTGATAAATGGGAACGAAAGTTTAACCGAAAACTTTGGTAAACTAATGAAGATTTTTCCAACACTTGTTCGGAATATTGAAAGAATGGAAAAAAATTTCCATTAATTTTTCTCGACATTAAAAAATATATTTGTTGTTGCATTTGCTTAATTATTGTTTTTGTTATATTATTGCAACGCTGTACTGAACTGAACGAAATGTAATTTTCTTTCGTTAAGTATCAATGACAGTCATGTGATGACTTATGACATTTTGTCAGAGTGGTGGTAGTCGATAAAGTGAATACTGGAAAATATACAGAAAAAGTAATTTTCTTTAGTAAATTCTTTGCCATTTCGTAGTGTTTTTGCGTGCCACACACAGCAACTTCAGGTGTTAGTCGAAGTCCCAAGTACACCCAATTTGCAAATATCTTATTAGTTGCAACATCTAATCTCCTGTAAGTCAGCGAGCAGAACAAAGAAAGCAGGAAAATGAGTGAAGGTTGTTATTTCAATATTGATGGTGGCTACTTGGAAGGTTTGTGCCGTGGTTTCAAATGTGGCATATTGAAGCAGTCGGACTATCTTAATCTGGTGCAGTGCGAAACTTTGGAAGGTTAGTGCAACTGAAAACTGGCAGTATGTAAGAATACCTGAAATTTACGACATTGAGTTTTGATTTTCCTTAACATAGAAAAGCAGTTGTAAGGGGGTGGTATGGTCATGTGACACACTATTAAAGTTTCATGTGTAAGTGTGTGCGTGCATGCATTTGCGAAGTGAATAATAAAAGAGTAGAAGAGAACGGTGGGGCGTTTGCTATGTAATGAAATGTCAAACTCATGGGAGCTGTCTTGTGATTTATTTTTATTTATAATAATTTTTATTCTTGTTTTGTTTTTAGATTTGAAATTACATCTTCAGAGTACCGACTATGGCAGTTTTTTGGCCAATGAACCATCACCACTTTCCGTTTCGGTCATTGATGACAAGCTACGCGAGAAACTTGTCATTGAATTCCAGCATCTCCGTAATCATGCTGTAGAGCCATTGGCCAGCTTCCTGGACTTCATAACTTATGGCTATATGATTGATAACATCATTTTGCTCATCACTGGTACTCTACATCAGCGTCCAATTTCTGAATTGATTCCCAAATGCCATCCATTGGGTAGTTTCGAACAAATGGAGGCAATTCATGTTGCTGCCACACCCGCTGAATTGTACAACGCTGTATTGGTTGATACACCATTGGCACCATTCTTTGTTGATTGTATTTCCGAACAGGATTTGGATGAAATGAATATTGAAATCATTCGTAACACCTTGTACAAGGCCTACTTGGAGGCTTTCTATGAATTCTGCAAGAAGTTGGGTGGTTCCACCGCCGACGTTATGTGCGAAATCTTGGCTGTAAGCTTGTGTTATATATGTTTTACTGTATATAAAATACTAAATTACAATTTTTGTAATGTAACAGTTTGAAGCCGATCGCCGTGCCATTATCATCACGATAAACTCTTTCGGTACTGAATTGTCGAAGGATGATCGCGCCAAGTTGTATCCCCGTTGTGGAAACATGCACCCAGATGGTTTGGCGGCTTTGGCACGCGCTGATGACTACGAACAGGTGAAGACGGTAGCTGAGTATTATGCTGAATATGCTGCACTCTTTGATGGTTCTGGCACCAATCCTGGCGATAAGACACTTGAAGATAAATTCTTCGAGCATGAAGTTAAACTCAATGTTTATGCATTTATGCAACAGTTCCACTTTGGAGTTTTCTATGCGTACTTGAAGTTGAAGGAACAGGAGTGCCGCAATATTGTGTGGATTTCTGAGTGTGTGGCTCAGAAGCATCGTGCGAAAATCGACAACTACATACCCATTTTCTAAATCACATAATCATATTATTGTTTTTTGGGTTGTTGCTGTCCCTCGTGTGAGTTTTACATATTTCTTCGTTTAAAATGAATAAATTACATTTGTTTTATTCGACTGAAATGTTAGCTTAAACTAACGCTCGTAAATGAATTGTTAACAGTATCTTTTGTGCATGTATATACCAATATAAATTAATTTACTTCATTTGCATATGTGCGCTGCAATAGAAAGAAAATTATTATATTTCGTTTCGGTATAAACTTAACGCTAAATCTTTTTGTGAATATTATTGTTATGAAAGAAAACATACCTATGCACACATGCATATACTAAATAAATGTTCACAAAGTACATATAAATATATGGAAATATAATGTATTAAATAACATGTTGTGCAAATATATATATCAAAAATAGATTGTATTAAAATTAATAAAATTATTTCCAGCCATTCCTTAAATTTCAAACGTCTCCAAATAATATTTCAGTTCTTAGATGTCACATATTGGGCGAAATATGTTAGAAATTAGCCTCTTAAAATGTATTTAATAGTATTCGGATTGAAGATTTTTTGATGTTTAGCTAATCTGAATTTTAGTTTAGTTTGAGAGCGTTTGATTTTATGCTGAACTATGAAAATTACAAGTAAAACTCTTTTTAGTATTTTAAATAAATAACAAAATAAATTTTATAAACAAATTTTTATTTTATGGAATTTAAAGCTTAAAAGGAATAACTTACATTACTTCAATAGAAAAATAAATTATAAATAAAAATATAATACGATAATATTTTATTTCATTTTTTTTTAATTTCCCCTATACTCAAAAATCTCTCATTAAAAATTTGGGCATTGTTTTTCTTGTCTGTCAATTTCATATTCGCAAGTGGCAACACTCAATGTGCACTGACGATTTGCAACGCAAATTCGTTTTTTCGTTGGTTTTCTTCGTCGATGATCGAAGAGGTGGAAAGAAGTTTTATTCATCGTGCGTAGAGACTCACAAAGAAAAGTTTTATACAATTTCGCTATTGAATATTGTAATAAAGATATAATAAGTGAATAAATAGTTCTCTGAAGCTAAAAAGAAGCGGTCGTGCGAAACCATAGAATCGAAATAAAATTTCCGTATAGGAAAAAGTGATGTGAAGGAGTAGCAGTAGTACAGAAAATGACGAAGTAAATTCCAATTGGACTTGAAACTACATAGAAAAGCAAAAGACAAGTCGTCGTCATATGCGAAAAGCACAAATCAAAAAAGTGAACAAGTCCAAAGCAAAACGAAAAACTAGAAGTTAAAGTGGAAGCAGTGAGAGTGGGAGAATCCAAAAGAAAATTTTGACAGTTGGTAATGATTATAGAAAAAAGTGGCTAAACTCATCCAGATACAAAGGCCCGGCTCGGATATAGAAACTTACATCGTAATAAAAAGGAAATAATATATGGCTAACAAAATTCAAGACGCGAACGTATCAAAAGTAAAAGTTTAACCAACTGATCACCTCTTCTACTCATATTACTGCTTCTATCGCCGATCTTTGTGGTTATTTAACTCGCAAACACTATTAGTAAGGCTTTAAAGTCTTTTACGTGCTGTAGTATTATTACCTGTGCCCTAAAACATCGCCCCGGAAATAGCGGAATACTCATATTGATTACAAACAACTCCAACCGTCTACAACATTTTCTCTGCCAACGTTTAAATAACGTTAGTAGACTAGTTAAAATTCGTATAAAATTTTTTGTCATACATTTGTGTGTTAATCAGCCTTAACCTGTATTACTCGGCTTAACATTCACTTCTTCACAAAAGCTATAAAACAAATAAGCGAATAAACCGCCCTTTAAGCAGCTGTTGCTGAGGATTAGCTGACCATTCTTGATATGGCACTCGACATGGGTTTGCCTGTAAATGGCACTAATGCGCTGACATCATCCTTCACAGCTAAAAAAAAGGATGCATCTACTGCAGCAGAAGAGAATTTATGGTAAGAAATATGAATAAAAAGAACCAAAACCTTTGTAGGGTGGAGTAAAGTCTGTAAAGACGATGTGTGTAAATAAAAACAATGAATCACACAAGTATTTGATTATGAAAGACATACTATAGATATTATAAAGGACCATATGTGGGTGTAGACAAATACAAAACGGTTGTGTCAGCGTAATGTAAATAAAACGAAACATATCTTCTTCAACCTCTCAGTTTTTATTGAAATTTATTCAAACATTTCCTTAACAACATTTTTTAAACTGTTCAGCTGTTCAGTTTTATGTATTTAATTTATATCTCTTTTTGTATTTAAATTTAAAAATTTTAAATTTATTTTATTTTGTTTTTAGATACAGATACATAGCAAAAACAATTCAAAACTACAATTGTGCAGTACATACACTTTTATTACATACACTTGTTTCTGCAATGAATTTGTTAATGACAACATTTACTGCTCCCCTCGTTACCTCATCTACATTTTTGTCAGTACCACACACGCGTGTACTACAGTCGAAGTCATTTTATTAAAGGAAACTTATACATGTACACCCCTCGCAAACATTCAACGCGCCTTTGGCTAAAACAGATTTGCTATTTTTAATTATTCACAACACAAAGCTAAGAATTGAGTGTATGTGTCACCTAAGCTTGAAACTCACACCCGTTCGCTCCGCAGATTTCACCTTTCATAACATACTAATAATTTATGTGTCACTCATTTTTCCCAGAGCACTTTTAATTGCTTCAGTTGGAATGCCAACACAATTGTCTTTGTAGGATTCAACACCCTCATTTTTGTTCCTTTTTCCATTTATATATTTTCTGCCCTTCTATCTACAAGTTCGCCTTCCTTAGTTCACATTTCTACATATTATACTCTACTTTGCGAAATATTGCAGCGGATGATTAACTCTCCTTGTTGCTTATATCTGCAGTCCATTAAAATATCTAAGCTTTAGCTTTGCTCTCTCGCATTATTGGGTTTTGTATTCGTGTAATTTTTTCATAGATTTCTGCTTCTCCCACTCGTTTTGAGCAAGTATACAGCCAACTATGTGACTTCCAAACGCTCTCGCTGATTACAGATTAACTTGCAGATTAGGAAAGCGAAAAATTGCAAATGCAAATACCTCACTCATATGCGCATAGGTTCACAGCACACACTATTTACATACGTGCATATTCCAAAAAATATTTTTTCTTTCAAACAATTGCTTTCTACGTTTAAAGGCGCGTGAACATTTTAGCATCTTTGCAGCCCCATTGCCGCTCGATGCCGTCTCTGTCGACGATTTTGCCACTCTTTTCAATGTTTTCGCATATTTTTTTTTATTTGACTGTGACTGAAATTTTTGCAAAGTAAAAGCGCAACAATTGTTTTCCCATGAATTAATTCGTCGGCGCCGGTTCGTTAGTCAAAATTGTCTGTTACCACTAGCTCTAAGTTCGTGTTTTTATAAAATTGTTATCAGTAATAATTCGCCACTGATTATGTAGACTATATAGATAAATATAAATGTATGGATATTTTATTTTGCAAACGTTCAACTTTCCGCTGTATTCCAACTTTACGGTCATCACTACTAAGACTGCTCCGTTGAAATTGCAGTTGTCTATTTTTTGTTGTTATATTATATTGTTATCAAGTTCATATGATTGCGGCTTTAACAATTTCAGTTTGCTTTACTAGTTTGCAGTTATGAAAAATGTTGTGTTTTCAAATATTTATCGGGATATTGTGATTTTCCTTAAACGTTTGTAATTGATGTAACTTCATTTTTATATTATATAAACAACTTCATGAGTGCTCTTGCTTAGTATATTAGTCATATATGTATAATAAGCAGCATTCCCAGGACAGTTTTACCCGGCCAAAAACTGTCAACTCCTAAAATTAATTGTGGAATGTTTTTTTGCTGCATCAAAACTATGTTACAACAATAACATTTTTTTTTTTGCTTTAAACCAAATCATATTTCAATAACTGTTTGTTTGGCTGTGTTTTTTACGACGTGAACATTTTTAGATTTTTGCCGATTTTTACTTTGGAATTACATTTAACAACGAGTTTATTTGAAATGCATCAGAGAGAGTGTATAGGATCTCAAAACCACTTATCGATCGATTCAACACACTTCGATTAATGTTTTAATAATAAAGCATGTCAATGCTAGACCCGTATTAAAGAGCTGAATGTTTTGCAAAAACCATTTCGAATAGATTTCGTAAAAAAATACTTGAAGATGACAATAAAGATGTCCGGATCAAATTTGATCACATGGTCTAACGCGAATGTCAAAGGGTCCAAATTCTATTTATCAAATATTAAAATTGCAAAAATTTTAAAATTTAGTTGTAAAAATTAACAGTCTGAGCAAAAAACCTATATTTAGTTGTTTTTTTTTTTGTCAGTCCGAGTCACGTTTGACCAAACGTTATGTAGGAATTGCTGGAAATACCTTCAGATAAATGAAGCTTTTTAATTACATATATGGAGTCTATATTTCAAGTTTTCACCCGATTTTATGCATTCTAAGATGAAAGCTGCACAGTTATTGGAAAAACACGATTTCTGAATTTTATTAAGCTCACTCAGATATTGGTTCTTGTTGTAGCGGCATAAATCTGACATGTTGACAGTCTTTGGCCGGATAAAATCCGAGTCCGTTCCGGTTACGTAGATCCGACTGTTGTGTTCAACCCATTTTTAACAAACAAACATATTTTCGGTAAAATTATAATCCTTGGGTCCACTTATACAATAGCTAGGGGCTTGAACAGTTTTGATTCGATTTGAGCAATTTTTAGTCATATATTAATAATTGGTTTGTATACTGGAAAGTGAAAAAAATTTAATTTAAAATTATGCTATATGAGAAGTAGGCGTGGTTTTAGCCCGATTTCAGTCAATTTCAAACTGTAACATAGGAATCTTAAGGGAATGATAAATGCGGAATTTGGTTGAAATCGGTGGAGCAGTCAGGTAAAAACTATTATTATACTCTGTAGCAAAATATTGCATGTGTATAAAAAAAATACAGGTTGATTTATTCACTCTTACTTCAATGTTATATTCATAACGACAGTTGAAATGACATCATAGCTTTGACATGAGAACATTTTCACATGCTAAGCTGCAGTTAAGCCTATTTTTATACCCTAAACAGGGTGTATTAAGTTTGTAACGCCCAGAAAGAAATCCTATAAAATATATACATATAAGCATAAACAATCAGTGTCTGTATGTAGGTAAACTGGTCCCTCAGCTTTTGAGATATCTATCTGCATATGTCACTTTTCTCCTCAAAAAGCTGCTTATTTGTCGGAAATGCCGATATCTGACCAGTATGACAAAAATTCACTGCCTTACAAACTGTAAATATGTATGGAAAAATCTGTTCTACAAAATTGGGCACAGATCTGCTTTTTATATTATTATTCAAAATAAAGATCTTTTGATACCCTTTTATACCATAAGAAATATAATACAATTTTGAAGGGTATCACAGCTTTATAGCCGAAGTTAATACTTTTTTTGCGTAATAATTATTTTTCTGTTCATATTTAAGATTAGAGGCCTAAAACTTGATTTCGTATTTGAAAAAATTCTAAAAATCGCCACTAAACAGTCCTTGTTATAATATAATTAACACTTTTTCTAATATTCCATAATAAATTTCATTTACAATCACCCAGATATAATCATAACTAGGAAAGTTTTATTCATCGCCGATGATTCATTTACTGCTATCTTCGAAACCCATAACAATTTTGAGTTTATTAGCTGACTGACTGAGCACCGTTCGACGTCGATAACCAAAACGAGATGACACTACACACCCATACAAACGTACATCGGCACATTGGCACATACATATGCACAGTTGTTATATTGGTATACATTGCTGTGGGCCAAGAGGCATATTGTTGGTATGGAGATACTAGAGGTGGCGCACTCATTTTTGGTTGAGTTGGCTAATTAAAATTCTGTTTGTGTTTTGAATCGAAAGAAACAAATAAATGTATATACAAAAACAAAAACACAAATGGAATTGTATCTCCACACTCAAGTTCGACTTGTCGGCGATGCTCAGTTACGTACGAATTTTTCAAAAATTTTAAGACACAGTCTAATGTTATTGTCACAAGTTGTTTGGTGTTGATGGCTTTACCCGAATTTATATACTTTTGTTTTTTGTTTTTGTTGTCACTATGCTTTCAAGCGCTTTGTGCGTTTTGTGTTTATACCCTACTCAAGTTATACTAAGTTTGCAGGAGTTCTGGAGCATCCAGAAGGAAATGTCGAAGACCCAAAAAAAAAAGAAAAAAAAAATATGTATGTATGTATATAAATGACCAGCGTGACGAATTAATCGATTTGCCTACGTCCGTCTGTCTGCTCCTTTGTAACTTGCGACAAGTCTCTCAGTTTTTGAGATATTGATCTGAAACTTTGCAAAAATCTTCTCCTCCTCAAAAGGCTACTATTTTTCGGAAACGGCGATAACGGCAAAATCAAGTTCTTCTTTGTAAAACTTTTCTTATTTGTGAAGGGTATTATAGCTTCGACTGAAGTTAACGGGTTTTTCTGTTTTTTATTTTTATTTTTATCATATTTTTTTTGCACAATAGATGGTTTTAGGAAAATATTGGAATACCGCTCTTATAAGTGGCTATTTGACCGTTCTGTTGAACACAAAACCATTGTGAGCCGTTGCTTAGTTGTTATTTGAAAGCGACTCTGACAAAAAACTAACAATAAAAGAACGTAGAAAATGGTAAACTGTGATAAATGTTAGTTATAAAGTGGTCGATGTCGTCATCGCTAATGGCAAACCCGAATGCCATATGCGTTACGAGCCGACAAAAGCGTTCGGGGAGAAAGTAGGCGGACGCACTGACGATGATTGAGTGCGATGTGTGTACAAATAGTATGAAATAGAATTTAAGCGTGTGCGTCAGTCATTTCCATGCTCCATTTCAAAACAAATCACAACAATAATAACAATTTTGTTTTGGTTTTCAAGTTTTCTCATTTATTGATTTCTTGCTTTTCGTTGTTCATCAAAAACTTATCGCTTATGCTGCCTATTTATTTATTTACTGCTTATACACATTTATCTCATGTTTAAAGCTCACATTTCTTCAATGTAAACATCATCATCTTCATCTTCGTTAGCATCATCTTCCTCGCCGGCGTTGTTCTTTTCACTCCTCACAATCGATTTTTGTTGTTGCTTTTGCTTCTCAGCTTCGGCTTCGGCTTCCTCTTGCTCTTGTTTATCGTAGCTCGCCTGTATGCGTTCCAATAAGTCGGTTGCGACAACTGCAAAGCCCTCCCAAATCACGTCCGGTCGTGTGCTATGCTCAAACAAGCGTTCCTCATCCAAATAGTCGACCAACAAATCACAAACATCATCCAACACTTGCTCCTGACACACGTCCGCCACATTGTTGGCGTCGATTAGCAAATTCCACAACGCCTGACAAATAATCGTAGCCAAAAACCAATCCTCCTCCTGCAATGCCGCCGCGAGCAGTGTGTACAACAATTCGGCGCCTTTGTGTTGCATGAATGGTGCACGATTCTCCGCATCGCCCAGCAAGTTAACGAGCACGCCAATGGCACAGGCCTTGAAGTCGTACGCCTGACTGGCAGTGCCCGCGGACAGCTGTTTCACTACCAACGTTAGTCCGCCGTTGCGGCAGAAGTAGCGACGTGCCTTGTCGTTGCGTGTCAAATTGCCCAAAACGCGCGCCGTCTCCACCTGTGATGCATCATCGCGACACGTCTTGAGCGCATAGTAAAGTGCTGTGGCCAAATCGCCGATCACACACTGCAATGAACCTTTGGCGGCCAACACTTGTGCCGGTGTGCTGTTCTGCTCCTGATAGAAGCACAGATTGTGCAGTGCGCCTAGTGTGGCATGCAACAATTCCTGCAGATCGCTTTTCTGTGTATGCAAAAAGCGCATAATTTATCAAAAAACTTTTGTTGCCGCTTTGTTGTTTTGTAACTTACCAATTGTATGGCCTTCATGTGCGTTATGGCATTCAATAGATTCAACATAATAACGCCCAGATTATGCATATTGCCCAAACCGATGCCCACCTCGGTGTTGACGCTCATATTTGCGACGACGCGTATCATTTTGACGAGCACATCGATCACGGTGTCGCCGAGTGAGTTGTGCAGCGTCAGCGGCTCCTTTGAGTAAAGCTCCAGCACACGTAGCAAATACTGCATGGCCACGTCGTTGTGATAGAACTGTGTAATGAAAGGAAATATTATTTTAGTATGTTGTTGTAAACGATTTCAGGTGTTAGTCCCACAGGGTTCAAGGGTTTGTTGTTCCTTTTTAAATGGGAAGTAAACGAAAAGCAGTGCTATATGAGTGGCCTTTAAAATAAAAAATTATCTGCAATTTTTTTATAGATTTGTAGTTCTCTCGTGGACCTCCTAGAAAAAACGTATACTTTTTGACTCTAGTTTTCCCAGCAGTATAAGTTAATATATCTATATGGCAAGAATTTTTTGTAATATTCTTTCTTAAGTATTAAATTTTTATCACTCGAACTTGCCATTAACAAATTATATATTTAAAGAAGCGATTTATGTAAGAAGATTTCATATTTTTTCGAAAAGTACCAGGATGAAATAAATCGTTATCTCTGGTGGAATAGAAAGTGTTGCCTACCTTTCAGCGCAATAATAAATTTTTTTAGATTTTTCTTGCTCTCAGATTGCAGTCTACTGAAAATGGAAAGCTTCTCGAGGACTAGAACACAATACCCTTTCCTATAAGACTTAAATTTGGTGTAAATTCAAAGTGCTGCCTACCTTTCAGAGCAATAACAAAAAAAAAAAATTCGATTTTTCTGGCTCTCAGATTCTATTCTGCTGGAAATGGAAATCTTCTTTTAGTATTTATGTTGGATATAATGTATTGCCTACATTTCGGAGCACTGGTGCAAAATGTGAAAACTTTACTATTTCAGGATAAAACTTTACAATTATACTCTCATATTTCTGTAACATACCACCTCATACTATGTCTTTCTTAATTAATTTAACCACTAACGGTGTTTTTCAAAAATTCTGCGTTAACTCACCTGCACCCGTGCATTGTCGTATTTAGCCATTATATTGCCAAGTATGTAGCCCAGTCGACTGAATAATGACAGCAATTTTTCAGAGGCATTATCAAAGATCTCACAGCACGGACCCAGCAGCATGCCAATACGCGCCGTATAGTTGACTAAAACATGACAGCAATCGCTGTCTTCGGATAGCACACTACAAAAACCAAAAAAAAATACCAATTAGTCATACTCTCTTTCCTTCACACCACCCACTGCGCCACCCTCCATTTCGCCAAAGTCACCTCAGTGTGCGCACGATGTTCGCTTGCACCTCCAACTCGCCAGTGGCCACCTCCGCGGCACGCACCAAATGCGGGCACGCCAATTCCAATTGTATGCTCTGTTGTTGCCTCGCCGTGCCCACATCTTCTGCCGACCATTCATTGCATCCCGTAGCATTTAGGTCCTTCTCGAATGAATGCGTCGTCTGTTGCACATCGGATAATGCACGCAATGCGGCAGACAATTGATACAGCGAGTGCAACGGTGGACCGGTTAGCTTTTGTGTTGCACCTGCTTCATTCAGTATTTGTAAATGCAATACCATCAACTCGACAGCGCCGTGCCGAGCCAGACGTTCGACCAGCGTATTCTGTTTGCTTAATTTCTGATAACGATCTTGCTGGGATTGTTCCAGCGCCTGCTTTGTATCGGTGCCTGGTGCCGGAGCCGTTGCTGGTTTGCGTGGCAATTCCAAACACTCAGTCCAACTACGATTTGTGTCTTTGCTTTGCATCAGCACTTCGGCACCACGCTCTTGTCCAGTGCTGGTGGTGAGAAAACGTATAGAACCATAGCCATAAATACATGCCTCGGGATCGTCTAGCGGACTGGCGCGTCCCAAACCATCGATTAACAGGTCGAGTAGGTCGTTGTCGTGGAAAAGTTGATCGTTCAACTCATTGCGTGCCACTTTGAAAATGAGCTTACAGGCGCCAGTTAAGTTGCTGCCGGTGACGCGTAGCTATACAGTTGTGCAATAATTATTATGAAGCGCAGGAATGAGAGATACAAGCATAAGTACTTACCGCAAGTACCACGCGTGCGACGCCTAGTAAAATTTTCGGTGACGAACACTCCACCAAGCCATAAAGGCCGCCTAATATAAAACCGCGCTTGTAGTGCTTCTCATTTTTGCGCACGCGCATATAGAGCTCGGCAAGGATCTGTAGCAAGACAAGAGAAAGCAATTCGATAGTACAAAGCACTAGAGGGAGTAAGAATAATCATTTCCAAATTTGACTTCTTCCATTAATATGACTTCTGATTTTAAAACTGCACTGGATACATATTCTTATACTAAAAATGTATTTGCCTCCTAAGGGTATGCTTCACACGTATTATAAAACCATTATCTACATTTCGGCGCATTAGCCAAATTACTATGCGATAAACTAAAGGTTAAATATATATAAATGTCATGCACACCTACCGAATTAATATGATTTGCAGTCTCCTCACTGCATTCCTTGAGGCCTGCGTGCTCCTTCAGCAGACCTATCAGCTTCTCAGTGGGTGATTGTGCCAATAAATGACAATTGCGTTGCTGAAATTTGCGTGAGCATAAAATATTGATCGCCGTATTGGATCCACTCATATCCAGAGAGCTATTCTCGCTGCTACCCTGGGCATTTTTGTAGCGTTCCCTATTCGTGACAGCATCGGAGCGTTGCTTCGCTGCAAGAAATAAAAAGAAAAGTGGACACACATAATACCATGGGTAGCAAGTTGCCGAAGAATGAACAGATTTTACGCACACCACTCACCTTCTAACGCGACGCCTCTAACCTCGAGGGCGGGTAACTTTCTTGGCATTTGTTTTGCTTGACCATTCGCGCCACCTTTACCCACGCCACCGCCTCCTCCAATATTTCCTTCAGTAACATCACAACGCGCATCCCACGAATTCGAACGCCTTGAAGTGCGTCGCTTAGCTTGTGCTTCTTCTGCGGCTTCTTTTGCAAAGTCATTTCCATTTGGTTCATTGACTTCCTGTTGGTGAACCGGTATGGGTTCCAGTGAAGGGGTCATAGGCGCATGTCGTTGATTCTCGTTTTGCAAATAACGTAAACTACGCGGTCGCGGGTATATACCGTAACACAATGAAAGTGTAGGGGAGGAATTGAAAGTAAAAGTTGAAAAAAATTATAAGTTAAAAATTACGAAGAATTAGGCGAACTCACGAAAATGCGCTTGGCGGTCTTCCGGCCAACGCGACCTTGCCGTAGAGCGCGCGTCCAGGCTCACGTGGCGTGACGGGACGACGCGTGCTGACCACTCGCACACCACCGACTATGCGCCGTGAATAACGGTAAAAAGCGATGTAGTGAAGGACACAATGAAAATAAATTTATTCAATTTCTATTTGCGATTTTTAAGCACAATTAATATACGCGCTCACACTTACTTCCTGTGCGATTGCTGTTGTTGTTGCCGCCGCCATCACTGCCGCTATGCATTACTTTGGTCGAAATCTCCGCTAACATGGACTTGGCTTCGCTAATCATTTCCGCCGATGTTTTGCGTCTTTCCAAACTATTTGTGGCTGTTGTGTCGCCAAATGCAAAACTTTGTAGGATTTGTTGTTGTCTTTGTTGCAGCAATCTATCGTCGGCGCGATTATCGAGCGATTGTGCGTTCTTGCGGGAATGTTCCACTTTTCGACTTTCACTTTGTGAGCGTCGCTTCTTAAGCAATATCATTATAAAATTTCAAATCAACACACAAAATTTCGTCTTGAATACCGTTAATAAACTATTTTTCTAACGCTTAAACGCACATTTTTCGAATTTCATTTTTCGATTCGATGTTTTTTTTTTTTTACTTCGTGCTCTTTTTGAGTGACAGTTTTGCGCATTCACAAATTAAATTTGTAGCTAGAAGTCCCAATTGGTTGGCTATCCTGCCCGTGTTACGGCTAAATTGAAAATAACTGCAACTTAGTGGTAATAATAGATGGTGTAGTGAAAAATATTTTTCGTTTGGGCTTTCGTGCACCATGCCAACGCGCACGGGTGTTGCATGTACTCTTTGTAGTTACCACTGTTTGTATGTATGTGCAACTCCTTTTGCCCGGCTTCAATTGTGCTATGTGCGTACAATAGAAACCGTTGGTGTAAACATGCCTAATAATGCATGCATGTGTAAGAATTCATAGTGTCGCTAAATATAAATGAAGTGTTTTAAATTTTGATCGGAAAATACCATCTGATCAAATTTGACCCGGACTAAAAAAAAACAGAAGTCCAAAATGTTTACGTGTTCTAATACAAATCGTTATTATCGCCTATAAAATATGCTCCCGAACCAACACAAGCATGCCAACGCTTGTACTTATTATAAGCCTTGCTTGAAATTCAGCCCCTTCAGTGAATTGTGGTTTTTTGGGTTCAGTCTATTTTTGAAATGATCAACAGTTTCTCTATATATAAATTGTCTAATTCAAAGACCCACATTTCGTAATCAGTAATGTCGTCAAAGTAGGGTCCTCACTAACCTCTACTCGACTTCGTTTTTCAAAAGTTTTTATTCAAAAGTTTAGCACTGCCACGCTTCATACCCGGAACATTAACTAAAAAGAGTCGATCCATAAACTGAGATGATCTGTTATTTCACTGATGCTAACGATTGCCACTCTCTTGCTGACATAGTCATCCATAGATATGCATGAACGTCTCTCGTTAGGCAAGTTTTCGATGGCTTCACGACCTTCACTGAATGCTTTGTTCCACTCAAATACCTATTTTCTTAATAATTTATACTTGCCGAAACACCTCTGCAATACTTTCAACATATTAAATACACCTTTCCGCGTCAAACTTTTGAATGGAAAAAATATATATATACTCGATCAAGAAGCTAACGCTCTTATCCTTGATTAAGTGAAGATGGGCCTTCTTTCCGTCCAGGTAGTTACCACTTTAAGGAACCCTTGTGTTAACTCGTAAACGGTGTGTAGGAATTATCTTTTAACCATGAGAACATCTATCTGACTAAGCTATCATCCGACACTCTCGTTCCTGAGATACTTGAGGTTTGATTCGGCCTCAAACTTCTTCAAGAAACTAATGACAGCTTACGACTGTACAATGTTAAATGCTTTCTCGAGAAATGTTCCCACCGCATATTCTTAATGCATGAGCGCTTCCTCCAACCATGACATAACGTAATGCTAAGCGGTGCCTATACCGATTGGCATATCAGCGCCAATATACCGATACTTATGATTATTTGATATTAGGAGATGAGTTATTATGATATTAGGAGCTGAGTATCCTAGTGTCATACCTCTCGGTATAATGTCCCTGATGTGAAGGTCCATAAGCCTCTCCAGCGTCTTCAACAAAAATGAGGAGAGGCTGTAGGCCTGAGATACATTAGCATGAAAGCTCTTATCGGCCTTCGGGCTATACGCCAACTTTACCTGCGATAAGTATTGAGAGTGTGGCCCACAGGAGGGCCAACCAACTGACGAGCACCTTTGCCGTCCGCTCCACTTACGCAGGTGTGATTTCATCAGGTCTCGGATACTTAAATGGCTTGAACGAATTTATCGTATATTTAAGGTGGCGCTCTAAGAAGGCTGTAGCCTCCTTGCACATTTTTTCGTGGATTGGTTCCTTGGAAAGTGAGCGTCTACAAATAGTTTTAACGAGAAGAGTTGACTGCTCGAATTACAGTCAACATCCGCATTTCTAAGATAAAAAATATAAGATATTATATGTAAGGGTTTTCACGAGAATGCGCCCAAATCTTTAGCATTCGAAACACATACGAGTTCGCAGAAGCATCTCTATGCCACTCCCTTTAATTCCGATTTGTATATAGCCTATCTTATACAGCGGCTAGTCGCCGTTAGAACCACTTTTGCTTTTTTTTTATTGAAAATTCTTTTACTTGAAGATCTGATTTGTGATAGTTCCGATACCAAAAAAAGGGGTTCCCCTTTGCCTTTCTGAGTTTTCAGAATACTCGAGCTTTCAAGAGAGGTTTTGCACGATGCACTGAGGCCCGACCAATCGCGATAGCAATTTGGCGCAACTGAAGAGCTGATCAAAGCTTTCTGTAGTACCATACATATTCCAATCTGTGTTTCTAAAATTAAATTAAAGCAGATACCCCCTATGTACAGAGTAGAAGTGGTCGGTCAAAAATTGACAAAATGGTGGCGGTATTTTTTTTAAATTGAATATCACTTAAAATTCGAGGGAAAAGAGACAGCGTTATACCAACCGCAATCCAACTTAAGGGTTTACATGAGCTTCATAGTTTAAAAAAATTTAGTTTTTTTTTTTGTCTTATTAAATTCTATAACATCTCTACAATATATTGTCCTAAATTTTCAAGTTGATCCGACTAATAGTTTCGGAGATACAACCTTGAAAAGGTGGACGCTCGAGGTCAGGTATAGGCTGAGGGCGCAGTAGGTAAAACTTTAAACGCCTTTTTCTCAAAACTATGTTTTCAAAGTCGGTTGTCAAGATTTCTCGCGAACTACTCAAGCGGTTTTGATGAAATTTTACACAGCTCTTCGAGATATCACTTGCAAGGTCTTGAACGAGGGTTTTTTTATTACAACTATTTGAAAAAAAAAATGTCGAGAAATTTTCATCGAAATTTGCATTTTTTTTTTACAAAAACGTCTGAAAATACCTAGTTTAGTTTATTGACTTTACTGAAACACGTATTTTTTATTTTTATTTGAGATGATCCTGAAAGAATTTCTGCTGACAACGCGAATGCTCCTTTTTCCGAGGGACTGCCGGAAATGGCGTCGTAATGACTGCGATTTTGATATTTTTTTTTTGAAAATTTTACAAAATGTTTATTAAATATGAGTCTTAAAAAAAAAAAAAAAAAATTCATTAAAATATTTCATTTTTTATATGTAAACAACTTATTGAAAAAAGTATGTAAGCATGTAACCCCTTAAACGTGTTCCTCTGTAAAAAATGGTATTTGGGTTTCTAGCACCCCATGTGCTCTGATAATGCTGGTTCCCATCCTCTTTCTTCAGATATATATTAATATTTTCTCTAACTTTAGAAGTCAAACATTACTTCTGATGAACATATACTTTTATACTACAATATATGGTTGAACCTAAAAGCTACCTTCATTATTTATATTTCTCTCACCAGTGTATTTTTTTATTTTAACTAAAAGCGTCTAAATATATGAAAATTCCAAGTGGTGTGGCGATTTTTACCAGAAACAATTGTTGTTCACAATTTGTGCATTTCAGTGGTGTACATACATATCTACACTTACGAGGGTGAGCGAAGAAGTACTTGAATTACAAATTAGGGAGACTCTTGCCAGTCCGTTCGAATGATTTTGGTGGATATTTTGGGTATGAAACACACTTTCGTTCGACTCGTTCCGATAAAGCTGAATTTTTTCAAAAATAGTACCGTAAAAAGGTTCCTTTGGACCTAGTTGATCATGCGAATTCTGTTCCCACATTTACGGAGAGAATTATAACTGCCGACATAGGTTTGCAGGTTTGACATGCTAAGAAGTCAACAATCATCGGAATGGGGGGAGGGAAAAAACTAACTGAAACCAAAAGAAACCACGCCAACGCCGCTCAAAAATCAAGGTGATGGTCATTGTTTTTTCGATGTTTGTGCCTTGGTGCATCATGACTTTGTTCCGGAGGGAGGCGTTTGTGTAAGAACATCCGTCATAAACAGGCCGGAATTGTGGAAGAACAATTCATGGATTTTACACAACGATAATGCACTGAGCCACGCGGAAAATTGCAGGTATCTGCAAAGTTTTCTAGCATTGGAGAAAATTCACCTTAGCCCGCTATTAATAGAATAGGAACGGGTCGGAGCGCTATCCTCGTGCGTTCTACTCCTATATAGCTAAGCTTCTCGGGAGCTTGGCCAGTGCCGGGTTACCATTAGTTCTTGCGCTCTCGAGAGGAGGTCGAACAAGCTCTCAACCAGGCTAGTCGTGCCTTAGATTAACGTGTAAACTTCTACTTGACTATTGATACGATTCACAACTAGAGGATCAGCAATTGAACATAACATAACCTAAACATGCATTTAAATTGAAAGTTTCGGTTCCACCAATGTAAAATCTAAGCATTTATGCAATCACCCTCGTAACGGTAGCCACTAGCCCGAACTAACGAAAGCCACTAACAACACGAGTAAGTACACGTAATGGAGCATCACGTTCGTGTTACTCCTGAACTATAAGGAAACACCTTCAAAAAATCAATAGACGACGATTGCAATTGAAATAAAGTAAATCGTTTGTCAGAATAATATACAAACTTTAAATATACTAAAATATAAATCAAATAGTTAAATGGCGGTGTTGTTGCCGTTGTGGGTGGACATGGGCAGTAGAAACTAACACAGCGCAGGCTGTTAACTATCTGCTTATGTGTATGTACATATGTATGTGTAGAGACTCTAAGTGAGTAATATAGCGAGTGCGAAAGGCTATCAAGAGGCGCCTCACTTGAACACCACTATTAGTCCAAGGGATAACGGCGCCTTGAAACAGGCGAGAAATAAATTTTCATGTCTTTTGTTTTGCCATTTGCATGTCGAAAAGTTGAGTGGAAACGTTGCAGCAACGCTAAAACAAGTGAATGCTTTGTGTGCTAAAACATAAAAAAAAATGCATAAAAGTTTATTGTGCGGCGAATAAACGGCATATATACATATCTGGAAAATAATAATTGAAATTAAATAAATGATTGACAAATTGCATTGCATTAATTGAATTGAGTAATAATAATTAAATTGAAAGCAATCAACTCGGAAAGCAACAGCGTTTGTGGCAAAAGTTTTCCTCCTCATAAGACATGCGATCGAAGCAGCGTTCGCTATTCGAAGAATTCTGCGTTGGTGACGCGACCACTCAGTAAGTTGTGGAGGAGTGCACCCTATAATAAATTGAAGCAATCGCAGTGAAAAGTTTAGTACATTTAGTAAATGCTATGTTTTCCACTCTGTAGCTGCCGTTTAGTCTAATTTGATTTTTATTTCTTTGTGACTGCTAAATATTATATTATATTTTGCTGGCAATTCACTGCTCCAATTTGCCACAAAAACATGCTGAATTATTTAGTGGTTAAACGCGGCCTGACATAGTTATATTTTATTGTCCATAATCATTTTCCGCGGACTTCTGCTTCTCTTTGTGGAGCCGCATGCCAATTCCAAATTAGCGGCTTACTTTGACAACTGGCTGCACAAAGCTCTCCGTCGTAGACCACAGCCATACATACATATATTTATGTGCTTAAATTATATATTTTTATTTTAAACAACTGCATTTCTAAATTTACCGTTCGCTCTGACATTGCATTTGGCAGCATGTGCAATTTTATGAATTCAATGGCGACGCATACCAACTGCTGCTATATCTGGTGGGTGGTCAACAAACTGGCATTTATGGGTCAATTACGTTGCTCAAAATTAGTTGTAAAAAACGTTAATTTCGATTGCATCGAAGCTGGAGTATTCTAGTAACATAAATAAAAAAGTTCTCCATACAAATACTTGATTTTGATTGTTCAGTTAATATGGCAGCTATATGCTATTCCGATCAGAACATTTTGTTCGGAGATTGTACCACTGCCTTAGTGCGCCGTGCAAATTTCTTGTAGATATCTCGTCGAATGAAAAAGTTTTCAATATAGAACTTTATTTTGAAGGTATAGTTTGTATGGCTGCTATATGCTCTAGTGGTCCGATCTGAACAATTTACTCGGAAATTGCACCATTGCCTAAATACAATACGTCGTGTCAAATTTCTTGTAGATATCCCGTCGAATGTGAAATTTTTCCATACAAAAATAGATTTTGACCGTTCAGTTTGTATAGCTGCTATATGCTATAGTGGTATATCGATATCGGCGGTTGCGACAAATGAGTAGTTTCTAGTAGTTATCTCAAAAACTGAGCGACTGGTTCGCATATACATATACAAACAGACGGTTATGGCTATATCGACGCAGCTCGTCAGAAATTTCGTGGCAAACTTAAAAAACACTGCTGAGGATATAAAAAGTAATCGGCGTCTACCTAGCCTTGTCCTACTTATTACACATGGCATTATTATATGTATAGTCACTCCGTTAAGTACCATAGTTGCAAGAATAATGCAATTATGACTTATAGTTAATCTCTCGTATTGTCGATCCACCGATTTTGCTATTCGTCTAAAAGCTTTTTTTTTAAATATTTTCTATACTATGTACAACACTTTTTTAAATAATTTTTTTTTTAAATTTTTTTTTTATTTATTTTTCAAAAAGAGAAGAAGTTTATTAACCTTTTTATCTTATTTTATATTTGCAGGTCTGCAATTTTGAGTGAAGTACAAAAACAAGGCAGCACAAAACTTCCGTCAAATAAATCAGTACTAGTATTAGGCGATAATGCCACCGGCAAAACGACTCTCATTGCGAAATTGCAAGGTGTCGAAGATCCGAAAAAAGGTTCTGGTCTCGAGTACGCATACATCGATGTTAAAGATGAGTACAGAGATGGTAAGTGGCCACAGGCATTTTTTTTAAGCTTCAAACTAGTTACCGAAACCAAAAAAGAAGGGTACATAAACTCCTTTAGGGATTCGAAAACGTTCCCATATGATAGGTTATCAGATTATTGTCATTACAAAAAAACATTGTTATTAAAAGTACATTCAGTGTTATAACGCTGTAGCTAGAGACATATACATATATACATGAATATAAGAACTAAAATGAATGGATCAGATAATACCTATCCATGAATATAATATGAACCTTTTTGCCCATCTACAAAGTCCCTTTAACCTTGCGAGAGTCACATTTGAGTTAAGTTGAGAACTATACTAGTTTTCTCAAATTAAAAAATGTAAAAAAGTACGTTACGAGTTTTCCGAAAAACATTAGTTCTCAAATTAAATTGAAGACTGATTTAATTAATTTAGCTATTATTGACTCTATTCTCATTACAACGAAGTATGAATACTCTTAAATTTGTTATCCATTTTATAACCCTGAGTTTCGAAATTAAGTAATTAACGACCGTTGGGTCTAAACCGTTCCCACAGCAGTCGGGTCTAAGTAACCGGAACGTACCCGGATTTTTTTCCGGTCAAGGACTGTCAATTCGGCACCAATTTTCGAAATTACTCTATAACAAATTTATTTTGAATATACATACCGATCAGCACTATCAAATATACTGATCTTAATGGTTCCAAGAACCAGGCTTTCCGTCCGATTGTGAAGTTATATGTGAATTTCAAGCGGAAGTTAGTCGGTGATACACAAATGGCTCGAAAATATCAAATACACTGGTTTTAATTGTTTCAAGAACCAGGCTTTCCGTCCGATTGTGAAGTTATATGTGAATTTTCAAGCGGAAGTGTACGCAACCATATCGCATAATTATACAAAACGATCGGTCAGGCACAGCAATTTCGTTATGCGAGATTAAATCGTAAACTTAATCTCTCAGCTCGCAATCGGATCCACCTAATTTGGATAGCAATTCCTAGTGGGATCCTATACCATCAAGGAGGTAGTGACCGCCATGCACAGTGGAGTCTTTAACGTTTTTACCGACTCTTTTCTGGTGAATGGTATACTTGGAGTCAAACCACCACCCATTGCAGACAAATGGCTCGAGTTGGCAGGAGAATCTAGAGTATTTGGTAGATGTAGGAATCCGCGTTAAGGATGTCAAAGTAGACTTCACCTTTCATGGAAACGACATAACTTGGCTATAGAGTTTACTCAAAACACAATTGTTTTTTTTATTCATATACATATGTATGTGCTTTACCTTTTTCGCGCATCAGACACAACACGATTAGGCGTTTGGATTCTGGATGGGGATCCAGGACATACAAATCTCCTGCGTTACGCTTTGAATGAAACGAACTTCGAACATACCCTCGTCATACTCACAGTCTCAATGACAGAGCCATGGGCATGGCTGGAACAACTGAATCACTGGATTAAAGTGCTCTCGGATCACATTGAGAGTCTGAAGTTGGAACCACAAGAGAAGCAGGAAGCACGACAACGGCTAATCACCACGTGGCAAAGTTATTGCGAAGTGGGCGATGACTTGGATCCGGGTTCGCCAGTGAAACGTACGATGAGAAATAATTCGATAGATGACGACGACCTACTGCCACTTACCGAGGGCGCGTTAACAACAAATCTCGGTTTGGATATTGTTGTGGTGGTCACAAAGGTAAGTAAATAAATTAAATACCGAAAATGAGCGATAAGAAATAACCTCTTTTTTTCTCTTAGACGGACTACATGACAACGCTGGAGAAGGAGTACGATTATCGAGATGAACATTTTGATTTCATACAGCAGTGGATACGTCGCTTTTGCTTACAGCATGGCACATCACTTTTTTACACAAGCGTTAAAGAAGACAAAAACTGTGATCTCCTATACAAATATTTGACACATCGAATTTACGGCTTACCATTCCGAACGCCTGCGCTATTCGTTGAGAAGGATGCGGTTTTAATGTAATTATATTTTTTTTATGAGATTTAAATGTCATTTTCTAAACATCTTGATTTTATATATATGTACTTAAACAGTCCTGCAGGTTGGGATAGCTTGAAGAAAATAAGTATTTTGTATGAGAATATGCAATCATGTAAGGCAGAGGACTGCTATACGGACATCATCTCGCCACCGCAGTCCAGAAAAGTAAGCAAATACTAATAATCACTAATAAATAATACCATTTCAATATACAACTGTAATTGTAGACTGTTGCAAATCGTGAAATCGAGGTGCAAACAGAGGACGAGCAGACATTCTTGTTGCGGCAGCAGGAGATTCTCAAGCAGGGCGGACAGATTCGCGGCGATTCGCCGATGCGCGTGCAAGGCGGCAATAAGGGCATGCAACAACGCACTCCCGGCTCCGGCGGACAGGGTTCACCCATAAAGGTCAACGCGAAGCCAACACCAGCTACACCGGGTAATGAAGGTGTGCTCGCCAATTTTTTCAACTCGTTGTTGCATAAAAAATCCGGTTCACCAGCCACACCAGCCACCCCGCCTAATGCGCCCAACGCCAGCAGTACACCACGTACCAATGGCACTGATGGCGCCATCGATAAGTTGGCGATGCGCTCGGATGCAGCAGCCGAACTCGATCGCCTGACGAGAAGTGCGAAAAAAGAAATGGATTATTCACAAAGCGAGTGTTAAGCCATGCGATAAAGATTGTATGATTTCGAAACGACTAGCAAGACACAAGTATAAGAATAACAACAACACCACAGTGCGCTTCTGAACAATCGGAGGGGGGAAAGAGCAACAAAAACAAGATACAGTTTTTTTAAATAAGTGAAATGAAATGAGTGAAACTTATATGAATGTAAGCAAAAATGACGTGTGTAATGAAACGTAATCCCAAAGGGTGTATTTAACTAACCCACAACCCCTTTAAACATAAACGAGCGATTAATTAACGGATTCATTGAAAAGTATAATTCTCTCAAGTAATGAGAAACTCTCAAGTAAAAGATTAAAATATTTGCAAATTTTAAAGCAAACTTAAAATACATAAAGCTAGCAAGAATGGAAGTCAAAGCATATTAGACTTAAAGCAACAACTTACAACAAAAAAAAAGAAAAGAAAGCATATTTCACTATCGGCTTGCTAACTCTGGCTAAGTTTAAACATGTGTGACGCCTGTATTGATTATTTCGTTGTTTCCCAACATGCTTCTGATTTATAGTAATTATTTTAAATATATGTGTTTATTATTATTATTTTTTTTTAATAATGCAATAAATGCAATTTGCAATTGCTTTCATAAGCGCTGCAACGTATCAAATGATTAATCTTAATTACGGAAGCAATGTGCATAACAAGCGCAGATAATTATAGCAAGCCTTTTGAGTTTGGGGTCGGCGCCGGTTCAACAATTGTCTGGCGTTTTAAAGCGCCATTTAGGCAGGAGCATACTTTGACGCTGCTCAAGCGAATAACACGTTGTAAATCCAGACGTGATTGTCTGGCAGCGTTTTAGAATAGTCGGCGGCGTCTGCATGTTTTTTATCGAAGCAATTTTAAAACGTTCTCATGCGTTTGTGTTCCAAGTATAAACGATTTTGCATTAGCGTAATTATATTTAAAGAGTTTGGCAATATTGGCGAAATTGCCATTCTTTATTTTTATATGCTAATTTTTATTATTTTTGCTCAAAGCTTAAAGTATACTGTAATTTTATATATATATATAAATATTTAATGTAATTTAGAAAACACGATAATTTCAATTCTAGAACTGTGCATAATTAAAATAAAATTAAAATAATAGAGCTATCTATGTAAATTGAGGAGATTCTAAAAGAAGCAAATAAAGTACCGATGAATGCGTAAAACTATTGATATTTGGTCAAAAGCCAAGCATATCAACGTGTAAGCGGCAAGTTTCGAAGCACAGAGCTGGCAACAAGCATATTGGTATCTTTCAGAACAAACAAAAAGAAGAAAATTCTATATATGTATATAAAAATACATATGTAAAGATACTAGTATGTCTGTTAAATTCAACACAAGTGTTTTCAAATCCTCTCATGCCACAACTTTCGCACAAAATACCAACTGCAGCTTGATATTGGAATTTGTATTTAACGATTTTTTAATTTATACAAAAACCTTTCTGTCTCATTAAATTCAATACTCTCTCTCTCTCAATTGTGTTATTATTAAGATACCGCATACTATATTTAAAAATAAGTTTCTTTTGTCTTAAACCAGAAGTCAATTATATAAGCTTGTGTGGATGCATATCGAGCAAAAAGTGAGCGAGAAATTCATTAAAAAAGCATAAACAAGTTTATTTGACATTAGAGATTAAAAAACATATATATTCGAAAGAAGATGCACCCTACCAAGTAACACATACACTTTTATAATTGAATCTTGTTTTAAAAAAATATATTTAAAAAATACTTTTAATAGAGCTTTTCAATTGAAATTTTTTAAAATAGCTTTTGAGTCCAGTTTTTTGTATTAAAGTAACTATGTACATATGCAAAATCGAGTCATTTGTGCGAAAACAAAATTTGAAAATTTTCGCTTAAATTTCAGTCGTTCAAGGTAACATGCATTTACAATGAGCGAAAAGTTAGTGTATGTGTTCCAAACAGGATTAAATATAACATAATAAAAGTACTTATCGTTTCGAAGTGTTTAGAAAAATACTCGAAGTAAAAGATTTTAAAACCTTTCACGCGATTTTCCACAAAATGGCAAATTGTAGCAAAAAATACCTTAGCTGGAATTTGTAGATATGAAATTAGCTATAAAAATGAATGTATAAGTTGTATTCTAGTTTTTCGACCGTTTGACCGTCTGAGCTGTAGTTATTCAAAAAATTGTAAAATAGAAGCGCTAATTATTTCCGATTAGACGTAAAAATGCATACATCTTATAAATATCATAACATCTCAGCAATGGTAGGTCTTAATAAAAAAGAATTCATACATTTTTATATATGATTTTATGATGTACAATTTACGTACCCTTTCTCCTCGAGTCTTTTTTCACATATTGAAGCATGAGTACTTATATTATGTAACTTTTAATCATGTTTTGAAAATATGCATTAACTTTCAGCTCGTTATAAATTATTGTAACTTCACTCATACTCATTTAGTTGTCTAATAATATGATATTTATAAAAAGGAATTTGAAAAACTGGTTCGTCTCGACTATAAAATCTTAACCAATACAATATAATAGAACCATCTGATTTTTAAATATTTCGCAAACTCCTTTGTACTGCAAAAAAACTTATATTTCTCCGCTGATCTAGATTGTATAGCTTAGAAAAGACAATGGTATGCGCTTAACGGATTGTGCAACTAAGGCATTCGTGCGCATTCGTTAAATTTGACCATCCAATAGTCGGTAATGCTTTTTGTGCGTTTAGAACTACTTAAAACCCCTAATGCCTTTCAAAGGTAGTTACTACCAGCAGCAATTTGGAAGTAGCTCTCACAAAATAAATTAAATAATAATAACTACAACCTTTAGTTACTATAGTAAAACTGAATAATTACATGTAATCAACCCAACCACACAATTGCTAATACACTTCATTATTTGTTAAATATAATATTGAAAGCAAACATTCGTATGAGATATACAAGTTATATAGATTTAGCAAAATTGCAGTTATATTTGTTAGCAACTTGTGTGGCATGCGAATGCGAAAGTTCTAAGCGCAACTATTGTTTTGCATTAAACGCTGAGGTATTTTGTTTGGTTGCAGTTGGAGTCACTCAGTATACAAAACAGTAAAACTAGTTGGTATTTGTCACACTTTTTTCTAACGGTAAAATATTAATATAAAGGTTAAAATGTAAAATGTATTTAATTAGTAAAACTTTTTGAACTGAAAACTTTTTAAACGAAAGCAACAAAATACTTAAGGAGACTTTAAAACCACTGCTGTTATCTTTTTTTATTAAACACATATTTTTTATTTCCATAAAGAAAAAGTATAAATTAATATTTTATTAAATTTTAATTTAATAACATTTGCGAAAACTCAGAACTAGTGTTAAAATTAAAAACGATAAGTAATTATTTATATATAGAAACGCAGCGCACCACGCAAAGAGTCGTGCGACAGCTTGTTACATTTTTCTTCAAGAAAATTGCTATTTCAAGCTTAAGTTTTTCTAATCTGTAAAATAAAATAGCACACAAAAATCGATCTGAAACAAAAACTCAAATATATATATGTAGCAGCTGTAGTGTATACATGTATTATTCGGTATAATGGTATATAATACTGAGATTGGGGCATATTTTTGTTACAATTCATTGTTCGCCAGCCTTTGCTAATGGTATTCCAATTTAAAAGTATGTACATAACAAAAGTCGTCGAATAGTGAATGATAACATAGAGTAAATCAATTGCCCCTTTTAGTGTATGTATTTATATATAATTTCACTTCTAAGTGTAAACAAAAAAATCAACAACCTAAATACATTTCAATATCAGCTGAGTAACGAAAATATTGTCTTCAAAAAGAAACCACAGTTTATTTGCTCTTAAAGAAATTTAACAAATAACTGCAAAATTGCTACACAACCAACAACAATGTTAAATAAATATAAAAAATACTAATGATATCAAACAAAAATTTATGCAGAACAATTAAAGTAAAAAAAAAAAAAACTGGACAAAATAAGTGTTTTCTTAAAGCCGAATACTGACGCGAACTTTGGGTAATTCTAGCGTAAAAAAAATATATAAAGCTAGATATTTTGTGGAAAATTGTTATCGTTCATCTTTGAATTGTTTTGATGGAATTTTTTGAAGTTTTAGCTTTATTTAAACAACTATTTTTTATTATTTCCTTTATTATGTACATTCTGATGTATAATCACATAATTTATTATATATTTTATTACATATTTGAAACATATTTCATTTAACATTTTTTTGTATATACATACATATGTATTTATATTTTATTTATTATATTAACCTGGGGTCGGCTCTAGTATATCGTCCCAGGATTTCGGGAATAAAATGGGCATGGTCGGATGGAGGAGATTCTCCAGATCAAGAATATATAGCCGTAGGAAGTTTATAGTTTTCGAGATATTCGCGTTTAAAGTTGAAATTTCCACTATTTTAATTATGTATTTTCTCGATGTAAAATAAATTTTTCACTTTTATATTCACTAACACATCACTAATTCATTTGTTCACATTTATTTTATATAATATAGTGCAAAAATAGCTTTTATACCTTTAACTTATTGTTGAATTATGATTCTTTAAGAACAAAAAAAAAAGTAGTTCTACGCGAAAAAAATTTGATACACCCCGGTGTTGTACCGACCAGGGTTATTTATATTGAAGCGCGGCCGAAGGCCGCCCACGCAATAAGGAGTTCTACACGTTTGTTTGATTAAGTTCAAAAAATTTCTTTATTTTTTATTTTTCTACGTTTTTTAAATATTGAATTAAAACTGCTTTTCTACTACATAATGTAAAATAAATGTGTACAAATGAATTAGTGATGTGTTAGTGGATATAAAAATGAAAAATCAATTTTATATCGAGAAAATACGTAATTAAAATAGTGGAATTTTCAACTTTAAACGCGAAGCTTCCTGCGGCTATAACTATATATATATATCCTTGATCTGGAGAATCTCCTTTATCCGACCGTACCCATTTCAATACCGAATTCCTGGGGCGGTATACTAAATTTTTCCCTTAACCTATATTAATATTTAAATAAAACCAAGTATAAAACGTGTCCGTCTGTCAGTATATTCGCGAATTTTCCTCAGCTTTTGAGATATGGATATAAAATTTTGTGTACGCACTTTTCTCCCCAAGAAGCTGCTCATTTGTCAGAGCCGCCGATTTTGGAACTTTACCTTACAAATTTTTCGATCAAATTTCAGTTCTTGTATTTCTGAAGCTATCCGATATTGAAATTTGGCAATCTTTGAATGGTTTAGATCGGACCACTATAGCTGCCATACAAACTAATTGAACAAAATCCAGATATAGATAGTGTAACACAATTTAATTCGGTACAACCGGAGCTAAAGTTATAGCTTGTTTTTTACTAAGTTTCGGGTTCTAGTTTTATGTTCATTACCAGTTCGGTTACTCTTTGCATTGCTATTGCTTGTTTTCGTTCACTCATTCCACTAATAGTTTCGACAATCATTTGCCCAAAACCTTGAACAGCAGGATTTTGGTGACGTGATCTCAGACTGCCATAATTTTGTTTAATAATTTTTAAAGCATCATATAAATCTCTATTCGCATTCGACTCAGAATTTTGTGACGTATCGTTAGGTATGAAAACCTCAACCTCTTCCTCTAATGTATCCGTCTCGGACAAGATAGATGCAGAACTTTTAAATTGAAACGGTTCCGTGATACATTCATATTCATTAGCATCTTCTTGTCCATCCATGGAAGATTCTGCCCTATAATCCATTTCTCGCTCCTTACCTTGAGCGGTAAATATCCATTTCTGACGATTCCTATAATAAAAAGATATTTATTAATTAAAATTAAATACTAATTCATTACATTCCTTACACTCGAGGTACTATGTGTGACCTTAAAAAAGTCAGTTCATTGTAAAGCGGCCATACTTTTGTCGTAATCGTACCATTATTTGCAAGTGCACTCACCCGACGGTCTTCTTTGGCAAAGCGCTCCCTAAAATTCGTCCAACGACGTACACAATCCTGTTCTGATTTTATAATGAGATTAATGTTGGAATACTTTAATTTTCTATTGATATTTAGGAGATATACAATACCATGAACTCCCATCTCACAAGCTATGCGTTGCCAAGCAGCTCTTTTCTTTGAAATGGATTTGTAGTCTATATTATTTTTGTTGTAAATGCAGTCATGCTGTTTTACTAGATTTATAAGTTTTGAATCGTCCATTATAAACCGTTATTAAATTGAAATATTAAGTATTCTTAATGTAGTTTAATTAAAATATTAAGTATACTTAAAGTAATTGAACTTAATGCAGTAACTTTGTGATCGTAGAAAAATTTCTCTTTTACGTCACGTTACGATTTAACTAAGATTCAGAGTTGCTTTATATTATCTGAATTTTTCTCTTTAAGTTTAGGAAAAGTCTTCAAATTTCTTCCAATTGTTTTAAAAAATAAAAGTTGAATTTCTCTTTATTCTAAAGAAATTATTCAATTAAATACCCACATTCAAATAGCTGTTGCACAAACTCTTAATTAGAGTTAAAATTTCCTTTGAATTTTATCTTATCTGGCAATGCTATCATGTAGCGTATGTTTATGCTGTAGCCGTATAATTTGTGAAGCGCGAATTTGTAAGACAAATTAAGAGGTTTAAATACATTCCCTTCATTAGCGAATTATCTGAGGTTTGTTTTAAAATGTAATTTAATGAGCTTTTATTGATTGGGTTTACCACTATAGTAGCATAAACATGCGACCACCTTATAAACCGGGACCCAAATCATTTAAGAACAGGACTTCATCATTGAGAAAATCACCAAGGCGTCCGGCAGCAGATTTAGGTGATTCAGATACCAGTAGCGAAGTGGACCAAGATTTAGAAAGAGTTGATCAGCCCACTCACAGCCACCTACGAACGAATGTTTCAAAAGGACAACGTTCCCACGGGAATGACTTAGCACAACACAGTGGAAGAAACTTTCGAAGTATGGGGGAGGCAAGTCAAATTGATCCTATACAACGGCCTATGACAAATAAGTTAGTGAAGCGCAACAGAAAAGGCGTTCCGAATCGAAACTTTGTTAAAAGTTATAAACTACTAGCAAATCGTGTGGATTTTATGATACCCCGTGCATCGTTTTCTCGTATTGTACGCGAAATTTTAATGAGTTTAGATACGAATGTTCAACATATAACTCAAACCGCTTTTGAGGCTCTCCAGACAGCCACTGAAGCGTATGTTGAGGGCCGTTTGGAGGATGCTAATTTATTAGCATTGCATGCGCGTAGAGTCACCTTAATGGTTAGAGATTTAGAGCTTATAAATTATCTACGGTGTCGCGAAAGGTAAAGCAATTCTAAAATGTAACTTATCCGAATGTATGTATATATAATTCAAAAATTTTAAGTAGAAAGTCATCAGTTTTTAAAAAAGTAAAACATCGCTTGTTAACGTTTATGAAAAATGCGTGTTATGATTTTGTTTTCAATATTTTAATATGTATGTATATGAATATAACATTTAAACATTAAGCGAGTTAATTCATATGATTCAGATAAGAAGTTTTAAGAATAATTTTCGTTTTCACCAATGGCGTCACATCTGCATTATTTATAGATAATGAATGAATGAAACTTATATTTTAATTATTTTATTCACTAAACCTTAGTCATAAATATATTGTTACATAATAAGAATTTCTTTATTATAAGTCGTCCGCTTCCTCCAATTTAATGTTCATTACTATTTCAGTAACTTTTTGCATAGCCAGTGCTTGTTTCCGTTCACTCATACTACTTATAGTTTCCATAATCATTTGACCGAAACCTTCTACAGCAGGATTTCGGTGAGGCGTTGTTTTTATTTCACCACATACTTGTTTAAACATCCCTAAAGCAGATTTTATCTCGAGTTCAACGTCGGATTGAGAATGTTGTGGTTTTCCGTTTATTTGTTGATTTGCAAATTTTGACGAATTTGGTTGAGACTCTTTTAGTTTACTTGTCCTGCCAGTGATCAGGTTTTTTGATTGCGATGTTGAATAATGCGATTCGTTTGGAAGAAGTTCTTCAACTTCTTCATGTTCCATCTCATGCTCTGACATTAGTGAATCCGAAGCTTTAAACTGGAATGGATCCGTATTCACATAATTACAGTCGACAGTATCATCTTGTTCCACGATATATGTTTCTTGATCACCGGTGCTACTTTCTTCAAAAGCTTTCAGCCCAAAATTTGGAATCTGGCGAATTCTTAAAAAAAATATATAATATAATATTTAATAACAAAAACATATTTCAACTACTGATCATTACACTCTCGGTATTATATGTGGCCTTAAAAAATCCATATCATCATATAGAGCCCAGATATGTGTCGTTGTCATATCATTATTTACAAGTGCAGTCATTCTCCTGCTTTCTCTTGCGAATTTGTCACGTAAACTTGACCAACGACGTATACAATTTGATTCTGCATAAAAACAAAATAAAAAACAAATATAAATATGTAATATAAATAAATTACATTGTTTTAATAACTCGCTTGTTAACCATTTATGCCCATCTCGCGAGCTATCCGCTGCCAAATGGTCTTTTTTTTGTCTACATTCTTAAAATCCTTGTCATTTTTGTTAAAGAGACATTCGTGTTGTTTCACTAGTTCTATTAATTTTAGATTATCCATTTTAGTAAATATTTATTACTTAGTCGGTGAAACGTAACGTAAAGAAAAAGAATTACAGTTTTCCTGTAGCGACTTTCTGTGCGTAAGTTTATTTTCCCGTCACAGTTCGAGTGTGTACTTTATAGAGTTGCCATTGTGCTTTGTTAATCATATGTAATCGCTATATGCACACATACGGCACAAGGGGAATTTATTTGAAAAACAAACCAGTATTTTTATGTGTTATGTATGTATAAAAGTGAAAGCATTGCCTTACAATAAATAACTATTATTTTTATTAATATTTCTTTTTATTTAACATTAAAAGTGGATTTGACATTGTATAATAACGTATAAAAATATTCCTCTTGTTTTTATATACATATATAATATAAAGTTGGCGGCGGTACATTATTAAATACATATGTTGTATACATACATAACTTAATACTTTAATATAATACATAAGCCTAGCAGGTATGTTGAATATTATGTCATTTCAATTTTCATAATTCAATTCATAAATACAAAATGTATCAAAAATGCCATGCAGTTTAGATAACTCTTCCTTCTATACTATTGTTTAAGTGAAAGTTTTTGTGTTAAGAGCAATATAATTACGACAAACCCTGTTGTATGGAATTTTTTTTTAAACTTTTGTGATACTGTTGATTTTTGCACGTTTAAATTACCTTTACCATATAATTATTTAAATTGTTGTCTGTTTTAGTTACAATTGATGGTGGGTTTTATTCTGAAGGTGTCATATAATTCTTCGCAATTAGTTTAAAATTTAAGATCTTAATATATTTTGTAGTCGAAAAAGGCTTTTCGTATTTCTAATCAAACTTCAACTTGTACATTTAGGTCGATCACTTTTTGTCATTTTTCCTCACCTTTACGTTAATTTCTCATTTAAATCGCGAAATGAGTGCAAAAGAAATTAAATGCGAAATGAGTTAATTTATTAATAATACTTACATACATATATTTGTACAAGTATTTTCGGTCGGCAAGACATTTTTCAGAAAAAAATACAAGTTCTCAGTTTTCTGTAGACAAGTTTAGTTTTTAACGCGCTTTTAAAATCCAATTCTTCAACGCTCAGCTGTCGGGTTTATCCTGTTTAGATGTGCAGCAACGCCAGGCCGATCCATCTATCTTGAAGCATGTTTGTAATCAGTCACGTTTTAATGCGGCGATCTGTCGAAAAAAGCGTTCAGATATTGTATTCGTCACAGGAAGTGTGCAGAATATGCGATGAAAATTATGAATTATGTGGTGTTGGTCTACATCGCAGTTCTGCAATGTTCCCAATACAACTTTGTAACTTATTGTCTTTTTACTTTGTTTTTGCCAAATCAAGTTCACTTTGCCATTATCCAAAAGGCTTTTGAATTTATCAATCAAACAGTTTTTCATTTTCATTTCGGTTGTCGAAGCAGGGACTTTTTTTTTATTGTCGGCGACGCACTGGACGCTATTACAACCACTGCAGATGACCACACGAGTCACTAAAGTATGCGGTAAGTTTTCACAATTTGTTTTTTGTACTCTACTTCAATTTGGGCTTCACCTAATACTAACTAAATATTTTTGGGTTGTAGGAAAACACATCAATAAGAAGAAGGAGTATGTTTACCGCCATTACGGTGAGGTGTTACAATCGAAGGTAACCCTTTTTGTGAACTCAGTTAATAATCTTGATGCCTGATTGGGTTGGTACCTAGAACGTAGAGGACGGCGGCGACCAAACGCAACTTCTATTATACGTTGGTAGGTACGTACATCTTCGTTACAAATATTTTTTTCTATTTTGTGGCTTAGTGTAAATTTAGTAGAAATATGACAAATATTATTCTAACAAAATCTCAATAACGTCTATCTTTTTTATATAGAGCTCTCGTTTGGCGCAGTGATATCAGCTAGGATCGAAAACATTCAATTCGCTGCGGAATGCCAAAACAATTTCAATCTCACATCTCATGGAGTCTCACATAAAGGTAAGAGCAGATAAGAGTTGAACAGCAAAACAAACGATGCATATACATGTGCATAAACATATATGTATATATAATTTAATAAAATAAAACTGATATCGCCTCACTCCACTCTAGTTGAACGAGAGCGCCACAGCCGAAAACAAGCGAAGCGAAATGAGCAACAGTTGCCCACGACACAATTTGACTTAGAGAGGTTGTCCAAACTCTGAAATAGCTTATAGCCGCGGCTAGTGCCCTCAACACCATCAACAATCAGTTGTAATAACGCGTTCAAACGATTAAGATCGGTACGGAACGGTGAGTCTTAAAGAAAGGTGTTAAAACGTTAGAAGCGCATTGGAAAGGGTTATAGGGAATGCATATATACATATACATATGCACGCGTGTTTGTGTGTGTTTAGTTAACAAGTGGCCTAGTGTTGTTTTGGCAGTGTGAAAAAGTGCACTTTGCAATTCGAACAACTTTTTTTAAAGTAATTTTTTGTGAAGAAAACTGTAGTATCAGACGTAAGGAATTTCTAAAAACCATTTAAATTAATAAAGGAGATATATACAAGTTATTTCTGATAATTTTCTCAAGTCGAATACATATTATTTTGCGGTTTTTAGCATTCCTTTCGTCTTGTTAACCGATAGTGTGTTAGCCAGATTCTCCTGTTGTTGTATCTGCTGGCTCAGTCATTCCCATGTAGTTACAAACTAGTTAGTTAGTGTGTGCGTGCCCTATATACATCCATATCTTGCCGGTCGTCTTTTTTCGCGCTTACTTGATTTTGACTCGAACCGCGATCACGCTACAGTAAATTTCATTGTCTAAAAGCAACTTAAAGCTCAAACAAAAACTCTACAAACCGTTAGTTACTACTAAGCAGTGAGACTATATGGCTATATATAGCTACAAATTCATATGCATACAAATGTGTCTGTCTGTAGATATATAGTATATGTAATTGCATATAAGTATATGCAGGGTATAGTACGAATAATTTAATTTGAAAGAGCGAAAGTTGCCCGTCAGTGAATCTCTAATAAATGCGTAAAACAAAAACAATTACGAAAAATAAAAACAAAAACAAAAAACTATAGAAAATTCGAAACCTTGCCGCTTTTAATCTAAAAGAAACTCCCTTTTCTCTTGTGCTATTATTTTCTAGTTAACCTAAGTGTACCCACTTCTGCATCGAAGTTTTATTAAAAGAAAGCAAAATCATTAAAAATGGTGGAAACAGTAGTTACCGTTGAACGCACCACTACCTCACAAACAACTGCACCCAGCGGTGGCGGTGGCCTGAGCGCACTGAAAATCAATATCGAATACTTTACGACAGTGCCCGGCATATTGAAACTTGTACAATTCGTAAGTAACTAATCACTTTTATAAATATTTAATTATGCATATGTTATATTATATGTACTATACATAAAATGACGTACACCACGTTGCATTGACTCAGCGCGTAGAAAGTGTCATTTGCGTCACCTCTTTTACGACGCTCTTGTCCGTTACTTGTAGCTATGTATGTATGTAGTATATACCAGTTTTTGAATATAGCAAACAGGTGTTGTGCGGTTTAGTTTCGGTTGATAAGAACTATTACTCTGATGCGATAACATTTCGAAATAAATTTTTTTTCTCAAACTGTTGCTATAAAGTTAAAAAAAAATTAAAAAATAATTAGTTTTTTGTTGTTTTATTATTTGAAACTGAAAAACACTTTAAAACTGATTAAAATAAAAATGTGCGGTCCCGAGTACGTTTAAATGACGCGCGTTTAATTCTTGGAAGTGATGATCGTATCTATTGTTCGGCTGTGGTCGGAGAAAGGACTAGCTATTGCTTGTTTTTATACTTTGAAGGGGGTATATTAAGTTTTCCGCGAAGTTTGTAACACTTAGAATGGAACGTCAGAGACCATGTAATGTATATAGTATGAACTTTGTGATTAGTCCTTTTAGAAGTAGTCCCTTAATATTTGAGGTATCGAACTGAACTTTTGGACACGTCCTTTTCTACCCATAAAAATGCTCATTTATCAACACGGCAAAAATCAGACCAACTATAGCCTATGTTGGCTGACATACAAACTAAACGATCAGACTAAAGTGCTTGTATGGAAAACTTTTTTATTTTAATGCTTTATCCGCAGAAAAGTGTTCAGATTGAATCAACATAGAATATACATAGCTGCCATACAAACTGATTGATCATGATCAAATCCTTGTGTGAAAAAACTTTTTTATTTGACCAGATATCTTCACAAAATTTGCAATAGTTGATTATGCAAAGATACGCTACATTCCCCGAGCAGATTACTCGGATTGGACCCCCATAGAAGATAGCTGTCATACCAAGTAATCGATCAAAATTATTTTTTTTTTTGTGTAGAAAAACTTTTTTATTCGACATTTTATCTTCACGAAATTATGGTTCGAAGTAATTTAAGAGGTTACATGTGTTTCCTCTCGGGAATTGTGTAAAATTTCATAAAGATGAATTGACTAGTTCTCAAAAAATCTTGCCAACCGAAACAACGAGGTGCGTTCCAACGTAAACAGGACTTTCTGAATCTATATGTCGACTGGTGGGCTAGAATCTGCTATCTTTATCGATTTTCCAGTGAGAGTTTCATGACATTCATCGATTGGAAGTGAAGTTATTGCGTTTTAAGTGTCAGTATGCTTGTGTTATCGGTGCGAAAATGAGCTTCGAACAAAGAGTCAATATTAGATTTTATATTAAAATTGGTAAAACTTTTACCGAAGAGTTTCAATTTATGAAAGAAGTTTATTACGATGATTGCCTATCCCGCAGAGTGCTCGAGTTTCAGGTTTTCAAAGTAATCGTTAGAACATAAATGACGATCAACCAGTGGGCCAATTAAAATCCGTGATCACCGGAAATTTCATCGAAACTGTGCGTGAATTAATCAAAAATCAGCTGAAATCATCATAGAAATTCATAGAAATGGAATTGAACATCTCCAAAATATCGATTTATCGCATTTTGACTGAACATTTGGGCTTTCGAAAGGTGTGTGCACGGTTTGTTTCGTACAAATTGCTTGACGAAAAAAAAAATTGCTCAGAATCCAATATTCGAAGGACGATTATTGGAAAAAAATCTCTTTTTAACCATTAACCACTCCCCGTATTCACCTGATATGGCTCCGTGCGACTTCTTTCTTTTCGGAAAAGTGCATTTGCCCATGAAAGGAAAGCGTTATGCAGACGTAGAGGCCATTCAAAGGATTGCACCGGCACACTGGCGGCTATACCGGCCAACGAGGTAAAACACTCGTTCGACATGCTTTTGGACTATGCAAAAAGCTGTATTGAAGCAGAAGGATACTCTTTTGAATAAAATTAATTAATTTCGCCGCAAAAACCATTTGTTCAGTTCTCTTTTTTTTAAGTTCTGTTTACTTTGGAGCGCACATTGTATAACTCGGATCAACTTGAAGGACAATATTCTAGAGGTTTAATAAGACGAAAAAAAATCGATTTTTTGAAACCCATTAACCCATGTAACTCCTTAAAGCACTTTATGCATTTTTTCGGTTAGCTTTAATAAATTTCGGAACTTCCCTTAACCAATGAGGTGTATCACAAAATTTCATTTCCTTCCGAGGTGTGTAAATTTTGGCTTAATAGGGTTTTGTAAGAACTGAGTGTGGATGTCAACATGATAGTTTTAACTGCGTACTTATGTACAAAATGAATCATTAACGTAACTTGAATGTGTAAATGTTATTGCCGACAGAGGTGCTATCTAAAACAAAGAAAAATCCACTTTTCATTGAAGTATTATCTGAAATACTGTTTGCAATAACCAAAAAATGAAATCGGATATCTTATGTTCACTAGAATACATACTATATACCAAACCATAAACATACATGTGCAGGTAATGATATAAATTTATGAGGGTGGAACAAATTTTTTAACATTATATTGGCTTAATGAAACAAAGGTACAATGTTAACTAATTATTGAATTTTAGTGAGGTATTCACATGCTGGGTTTTTATGAATATAATTGATTCTAATATACCGTATATAAATTTTTTATATCTATTGGGTCTATATTAAAAAAATTAAACAAGATTATTATTAAATAGAGAACACAGTTTTAGCAACATTTAAGTATAACTTTCACTTAGTATCTAAGCATTTAAAAAATTTGTTTAGTGGATCCATCCTAATGTTCATAACATATTTGTACATAAGCTTATCTAAATGAGCAAATCTCTATCATGTGCCGAAAAGTACGGTGTGTTCACATAAGTGACAAAAATTACAAACTTATTTGCATGCATATGACACACAAACCTATTTAAAAAAATTTTTTTTTTTTTAGTTTTGTGTAATTTGTATTTAATTGTAAACCTTTTTTAATCTTTTCGGCATTTTCCTAGGTGAGAATGCTTTAAAATGAGCTTTATTCGTAATTGATGAATTACCTCATTTTTTACTCAGATAGATAAGTAAAAAAGTTTTAAACTTTGAGCAATTTTGTGTTATCGAATCCTAAAGTCATTAATAATATGAAATTAGCGGACAATTGAAGCCCACTACTGTGGGCAAAAACTAGTAAGACTTTATAAATTAAATTTCGCATTTATAAAAAGTCTTGCGGCATTTTTATTGAATTTTCAATTGTTCATAAACTTTTTTTTGATGACTCATGCCCATCTCTTGACCGATGCTACGGCTGCTACTATGCCGGTCTCTTTCGACCAATTCAGCGATTTTATCGCAATTTTCGACGACAKGCCTTCMGGAGCGTGGCGCAYCTTCGACCACCTCTACACCAGAACGAAAACGTTGAAACCRTCGTTGTGCKGTGGAAATGGAAACTGTATCRGGTCCATAAACTGCACAAATTTTATTGGCATTTTTGCCTTTATCGTAGTAGTACTGTAAAATATGCCGTATCATCTCTTTATTTTGCTCCATGTTTGCGACGCTATAACTCAAGAACGACTTAAAAGAAACGACAATCAATCAAACACGTGTTAGCGCCTGAAATGAGCTTTCCAAAAAGGTATAGCATGACCCGATGCGACGAATAAAACTAGAACTACGCGCTCTCAGCGCCAACTAGCGAAAATACCGCAGGACTTTTTTGACAACCTAATATTATTAAAGCCACCTATACGAAAAAAAATGTATTTCTTTTTACTAGACCTTATATATTTTACACTCAATCAAAGCATATACTTTGATTTTATTCAAAACGAATAAATTAATTTACATAGTTCTGCTTCAAATTTGTACGAGATTGTTATTGTAAGCGCTTTATATAATAAATGCTCTTTTGTTTATCTAATCATTTTTGTACATATTCACAGATATGGACATATGTACATTTATATTTAATAGCAAGTTATTTTGAGAACAACAAAACTATGTACGTATACATATGTTTATGAAAATCTATAATAATATGACTTTGTTGGTAGAGTATAATTCTGTTTACATAAACAAGTTTTAGTGCTTTAAATTTCTTGTCGCCAAGACAATGTCATTTTGAATGCTATTTGAAAGAGATATTTTAGATTCTGATTTCATTGAAACTAATTATTTGAACTGACAACTCAAATTTAATATTTCGTTGGTAAACTTGAACAAGATATTTATTTTCCAAAACTCAGAAGATCATTCGTGTACTTTATTCTTTGTAGAAAAATTATACTCATCAGCCACATACAAAAAAGGGAGCATTTCTAATTAGCTATCAACAGCTGTATGTATCCTTCGTACAGCTCAAAACTTTTGTTCTGTGACCCATGAATTTCACTTTTTGTACGATCTTTGTCTCTGGTGTTAAGATAGAAAATAACTGGCATTCAAAAAGATTCCTGAGAAAATGAATCTAAGAGAAGAAAATTGGTTACCACATAGCATCGAAGCAAACGATGATTAGATAAAAATAGGAATATGAACACAATATTTTTATGGTCTCGATTCAAGTAACATCTAGCGATTTATTTGGTATTCTGCGAACTGTTGACTTAAAAATAATTCACAAAATTAAAAACATATTATTCTAAACGGTTTAAAGTCTGTGTATTAATATTAAACTGAAAAATTTTCATTGCCCGAATATTTTTTCGCTATATACGTAGGTCGCCTTTTATATTGTGTGATTTGTCAACCCTAATGTTGCAAACTGGCAACTACTCACAAGTACATTGTAAATTTTAATATTTTTTATGTTATACATACATACTCAGAAAGTTTTGACACACTACAGTGTTCATTACAGTAACTGAGAATATTCAGCTGCGTCAAAAAAATACAATTAAGGGGTCAGTAGGGTAATCTTTTTTCAGAATATTTTTTGTTTTTTTGCATT